TTACAAAATTCTAGTTCAAGTTCTGATGATTTTAAATGAAGGTTGTAGACAGTGATTATTGGCTCTGGATAAGAATGTGTTTTACTTTTATATGTTTTCTGAACGACAGGGATTTTCTCCATCATATGTACTGTTAAGTTTAGATTTAGATGACTGTTTACTATTTAAAACAAACAAATGATGGAATATTGAGGATTCATAAAACATTCTTGTAAAAATGTTGAATTACTTTCGGAGGAAGAATGGAAGAAATACGTTTTGGTGTTTTGTTGTCATAAACTGAATATTGTATGGTTGTATGTATATAGGACTGTCTGTCTGTAGTGATAAACATATTGTGGTCTATCTATTATTTTTTGTACTTACTTGCTTACTTATTTAGTTACTAACTTACGCCTATCACACCTAGTGAAGTATGCACCATCTACCATGATTATCCAACTAAGTCTGTCTCGGTTTCTCTTTACCAGTTCTTTCCAATTGCTATTCAACTTTTTCATGTCTGCTTTCAATTCCTGACGCAATGTGTTCTTCGACCTCCCTCTTTTCCGTTTCCCCTCACGACTTCAAGTTACGGCTTGCTTCTCGATGCAGTTTGGTGATTTATATAATATATGTCCTATCCATTTCCAACGTCCTTTCCTAATTTCCTCTTCATCTGGAAGCTGGTTTGTTTTTTCCCTCAGTAGGCTGTTTCTGATGGCGTTCGACCAACAGATATTGAGTATCTTGTGTAGATAACTGCTTATAAATACTTGTACCTGGTTGATGATGGTTGTGGTAGTTCTCCAAGTTTCAGCTCCATACAGTAGGACTATCTTGATGTTCGTACTGAAGATTGTGACTTTGATATTGGTTGACATTTGTTTTGAGTTCTGTATGTTCCTCGATAGTAGGAATGATGTCCTTGATTTTTTTATCCTTGCCTCTACATCTGCATCTGATCCTCCTTGTTCATCGATGATGCTGCTGATCAGGTAAGTGAAAGTTTCCATTTCTTATTTCGGTGTAATATTTATTCAAGATATGGTATGTTTCACATTAAATTAACGTGATCTACGTTCGGTATGCGATTTCGTTAAAATTCTGGGCATTCTTCATATATTATCTAATTATTAATCAAATGTCTGTTAAAGTCACTGATATAAATGTGTGCATTTTCAACCAGGGTCATTATCGTATTTTGGAAAGAATAAATCTTCACTTATACCAGTCTTTTGTGTTCTTACTTCACGTCATGGGAATTGTAATGGTTCGTCGTTTTCAAGCATAAGTAATAGGCCAATGAGTATATAACACTCTTGTTCTTGTTCCTTCTAATGACTTACATTACAACACACCTAAACAATATTGTTTTTTTCACATTGAACTATTTCACGTAAGTTATTAGCTTATGCGGTAAGGCTATAATTTATGGACGACCTTAGAGCAATGCTAAAATCATCTTAGAATGTTCACCTATTTACCAGGGTTAAATGAGGGTTATATATTAGTGTGAGGAATTACATTTACATTTGATGGTTAAGGTTAGAAATTAGATTTAGAGTTCAATTGTCTACTGTATATGCATAATGGAATAAAATATTCTAAGCTCCCTGATTTTTTTCTGTTTTATTGTCAAGACGTTTAAAAGCTTTAATAAAAAATGTTTTCTTGGTAAAACTTAAATTTATGATGCATACACAGTAACTTAGAATGGAATTGTGGGATTGAGCCACTGAGTTGAAATCCAATGATCCATATTCTGTTTCGACTCATTCATTCTCATCAACGATAAGGCTGTTAATACATTTCATGAAGTTTGATTAGCTAGCTACTATTTATAGTGTATTGTGTTAAAAGTGAAGTAGTAATCAATGGTCGATGACACAGAGTGTAACGACCTAAGTCGCACCTGGTGGTATCCGATATCCGACTTCACACATATACATAAACTATGCTCACAGCAGCGTCTGATTGTCATGGATTCATACCAGAGGGATATCACATGTGCACACTGATGAGGAGTGCATGAAATAGTTCTGTTCTATTATTTATCGCTATTGGCAAGTTTGATTTATTGAAATCTGGGATCTGAACTTTTATTGACTTGTGACATTATCAGTGTACTGTTAGGTAAAATAATAAGTTACCGTGAGAAGTACGTGTGATCCAGCCTTTTTGTGGATTTTTTTGGTATGATGCCAGATACCCATATTACATTTTACATACTATTCCTAACCTAAGAGATATTGAAATACAAGTGAATTAATAAATCACGAAAGTAAAGCTCTAATTTATATTTCGTTTAAGTCACGAACCGGTCAATGTTAGATCACCATTGAAAACCTGGAAGCATTGAACGGCCATTTCGTCATAGTATGGGACTCTTCGACAATCCAAATCCACGACTTCGCACTCGGGACTCCAACTCAGGCCCTTTGATCCCGTGCGCGAACACGCAACCTCTAGATAACTGAGATCGCATCCAACAGTGATAATGTCCATCATCTATCAATCTACAACATTGTGCTACGATCTTGCATTGTTTTCAGTGGGTGATTGCCTCACACCCGACGAAGTTTAGCTACACTAGTCAGAGTAAAGGCAGTCAGTAGGAAAATATGGGCCTAGCATTTGTCAACAGTGGGTACTTCTATTCTCGTGAATGCATATTTTCCCTATGGGATTGGGAAAAAGTCTTAGATTTAATCAAGAAATTCATTTTAAAATCTGGTTGAACAGTTTCAAATAGGATATTATTAAATATAATCAGTTGATGATTTTGAAACATTCAATCACGTTAGTTATGCTGAAGGAACTCATCTGATATTAGTTTGTACCTCTAGTGGAAAGTGCTTCAGACTTGCTTACTTACTCTTGTTACTCCTCGTGGAGGAGTAGCTCTTCTAGAGTTACTGCCGGCCCCAAGCCCGGGTAAAGGAGGAGGGTTGAGCATGGGGTTAGCGACCCCATCCTGTAGAAAACTCGCTCGCTAAGAAAACGCTAGCGAGAAAATAAAGTGCTTCAGAAAAATGAAGATATTTTACCTAATACAATTTTTGAATAGGTAACAGAAGATTTTACATCAAAAAGTCATGAACTGTTCAGGAATTCCATAAGCCAACTTATTATGTTTGGGGGGCGTACAGTAGATCAGGTTACAGCACTTTGAGTAATGGACGGTCAGAATGATTGTGGACTTCCACGCTATGCAGCAACTGAATTGGTTTATCGTCTTAATTTCAGCTTAAGTGTACTAAAAGAGTTTTTGGTGATCGAACAGTTTAAGCCTCTATAATTTTATTAGTGATGTGAGATATAGACAGTGGTAAAGGCAATTTAAAGACAGTATCAGTGGAAAGGTAATGATCAATTTAACATACAAAGACTGGTGGTAATTATGTTTTATGAACAGATTGTAGCAAATTATTTCAGAGTCTTGAGAAGTTATTTGTGAAATATATCCAGAGAATAGATTTAGATTATGACAATTTCAATTTTGATAAAGGGTTGAGTATATTGTAACTTGGTGATTCTGCATTTCGGATTGCGTCAGTGATAAAAGGGATAATTCACTCAGTATCTTAAAGAAAAACAATTCTAGAAATTGTTGTACAAAGTATGTTAATTAAAATGTATGAATCTTTGTTACAGAGTTTAATTAGCATATAAACCAGATGTCGTCCAGATTTAGAAGGCTGTGCTGAGACCTGTTGCAAAAAGTACAGGAATACCTGGAACCTAAGTCTACTGCTATATGAAACCTAACTGGCACCTTAACATCCTATGGTGAAATCTTAATAGAGTAACAGATGATCAAGGCAAATCTTTTCTCATTTAACAGTGTTAAGTTCCAAATTCTATTTTGAACACCAAAAGGTGGACTTACTGAACTCCATGCTTAGAAAGTTTTGCATGTAGCTTAGCTTATGAGGGGAAAGTGTACATCTATGTACAACAAAGTTTTACTCCTATTTGAGTAATCATAGGTATTGTTGATGTTAGCTATGTAGAGTAAATAACCTTAGAAACTTTCTGGTATTCCACTACTTGTAACCGGAAGAGTGTTCGATATGGAAGAGTTAACTTTTACTATTCACCAACAGTGACTAAAATAGCAATTTTTCAGTATGGATTATTAGTTTTCACTGTTTTGGTGTTTTTCTCAAACTTGAAGGTATTGTTTTCTGTTTTTTTGCAAGCTGATGAAAGCCCATCGATGGAGAGTTAAGGCGCTTTCAATGATTTAACACTTGATGTTTGTTGATGATGAAAGTTACTTTCGAAAAACTTTAACTTAACCATATATATGATAATAATTGCCACTGGAAATTTTGTCTTAATTAATAAACACCAATATATATATGTAGTCTATTCCTATTAACACGCATAGTTCTATTTGTGATTTATATGCAACATTTGGAAAGAATTTGAAATTTCTAACTTGTAAAATGTAATCAGGCGTGTATAGAACAAATGGAGACAGTACGGATAATTGTTGAACAACTAGTTGAATGGAGTGGATCACTATACAACAGCTTCTTTGATTATGAGAAGGCATATGACACTATAGATAGGACAACTTTGTGGAAACTTCTTCGACAATATGGTGTACATGAGAAGATTGACAATCATACAGGATTCTTACGACGGACTACATTGTAAATACGTCCATGAAGAGCAGCTTACAAATCCATTCGAAGTGATCATCGGTATCAGATAAGGGTGCCTACTCTCCCCCTTTATCTTTCTTCTAGTGATTGACTGGATTTTGAAAACCTCAATATCTAACAGGAAGCACAGAATACAATGAACAGCTTGGATGTAACTGGATACTTTGACACTATAACTATTCTAAATATCTAAGAACTTTCATCTAAATCAGATCGTATAGCTTCACAGTATTTGGCGGTCAAGTTAATATGAGGCATTAAGAAGAAGAAGGAAGAATATGTTTGTAATATCTCAGTGTATGAATTTAAAGTAATTCGATAATTTTAATGTTTAATTATAATTCCATGAAAGAAAAAACAAATTTGAACCAGATTGTCAGACGAAATATTGGATTTACTTCAAATTCATTCGTTGAAATTATACAAATACATCATCATCATCATCATCATCATCATCATCATCATCATCATCATCATCATCATCATCATCATCATCATCATCATCATCATCATCATCTCATCATCATCATCATCATCATCATCATCATCATCATCATCATCATCTCATCATCATCATCATCATCATCATCATCATCATCATCATCATCATCATCATCATCATCATCATCATCATCATCATCATCATCATCATCATCATCATCATCATCATCATCATCATCATCATCATCATCATCATCATCATCATCATCATCATCATCATCATCATCATCATCATCATCATCATCATCATCATCATCATCATCATCATCATCATCATCATCATCATCATCATCATCATCATCATCATCATCATCATCATCATCATCATCATCATCATCATCATCATCATCATCATCATCATCATCATCATCATCATCATCATCATCATCATCATCATCATCATCATCATCATCATCATCATCATCATCATCATCATCATCATCATCATCATCATCATCATCATCATCATCATCATCATCATCATCATCATCATCATCATCATCATCATCATCATCATCATCATCATCATCATCATCATCATCATCATCATCATCATCATCATCATCATCATCATCATCATCATCATCATCATCATCATCATCATCATCATCATCATCATCATCATCATCATCATCATCATCATCATCATCATCATCATCATCATCATCATCATCATCATCATCATCATCATCATCATCATCATCATCATCATCATCATCATCATCATCATCATCATCATCATCATCATCATCATCATCATCATCATCATCATCATCATCATCATCATCATCATCATCATCATCATCATCATCATCATCATCATCATCATCATCATCATCATCATCATCATCATCATCATCATCTCATCATCATCATCATCATCATCATCATCATCATCATCATCATCATCATCATCATCATCATCATCATCATCATCATCATCATCATCATCATCATCATCATCATCATCATCATCATCATCATCATCATCATCATCATCATCATCTTCTTCTTCTTCTTCTTCTTCTTCTTCTTCTTCTTCTAGGATCAAAATGTAGTTTAAAATGGAGATAAGGAATAGTTGCAAAATGTTATTCTATAATATACTAATCTTAATTAAAAGTTAAATCTAGTTTACTTTCCTACCAAAGTGTAAGTATGGTAGTAGTAGTAGCAGTAGTAGTATTATACATGTCAGTCAATTCTGTCTTCTCTTCTTTTTTTTTTGGATTTTTTACTCTTCATCGAAACAGATTTGAAATGTAGACATATTGAATTGTATAACATTTTTGTACAGGGTGAATTTTGTTTTCTATTTAAGTAAGAAGAATGAAATAAGTAAATAAATAAATTAAAAGAGAAGAAGATTAATCCCAATTTAAACTATCTTCAATGTTATTTTAGTTAGACTTTAAAGAGAGATGTAAGGAAAAGAAAGTGGGGGGGGGGAAGGCGGAGAAGCTACTTCGTCACTTAATGAATATGTCATTAGTTTATTTAAACTTTTTCACATATAAAGAAACAATCATTCCACCCAATGAGTTGTTGTGAAGAGTTCACCACAGGAGTTTAACAATTGTGCAAGTAAGGTGCACAGCAAGCTATTTATCCTTTTTAGAAAAAAAAATATAGATAATCGTTAGCATAGTTTTATCATATTTTGAAAGTATTCTATACAAAAATGGTAAGAAAAACAAGTCCTGAATTTGCCATTTTTGTTGTTGTTCAGGAACTAAGTTGTTAGAGCTGCTGATTTATTATTATTATTATTATTACTATAAAGTTTATGCGAACTTGAGGATTTCATGTCCGTTTTGATAAGATTCATTTTTATATGAATGTTTGAGTGAATGTTTATCAAAATAGAATATTACTGAATCTGTTGTAACATAAAATATGAGGTATTTCCTGGAGTTCTAGTAAGAAGCAGTCATCAGTGGAGTACAACTGGGTCTGTTGTGAGATAGTGGATATGTCACTCAGTTTTGTGGATTAGTTGAAGTTAGATATTAACACTGATGGATACCGGCTCTGTAGTCTAGTGGTTAAGCGTTTACGCGCAAAACTGACAGGTCCTGGATTCGAATCTTGTGAGGCGGGATCGTGGATGCGCACTTCTGAGGAGTCGAACAATAGGATAAAACGGCCGTCCAGTGCTTTCAAGTTTTCCATGGTGGTCTAGCTTCAACTGACTCATAATCTCAACCATTAAGAATATGATAATATCTATATTTATCTAAATAACTGATAATAGTAAGGTATGGATTACGAGTTAAAGCTATCAATTTACAACCAATAAGTGGGAGGTCTGAATTCAGATCTATTTATTACAGTTTTAATAGCCTAAGAATACTCTTAGCCTTCATACAAACAATAAGGGTTATATTGGAGTAAATAAACTAGTAATTTTCAAATTAGTTACATTTAGGTTGAATAATACTAAATTCCTGGAAATTCAATTTATGGGTGATTTTCAACGTTTATTCAATAATTTTAAAACTGAATATTGGTCCTATTCTATGAGTAGGCACTTGATAAAGTTACCGTTATATTCAAAAAATAGTAGAGAAGTCTATGATCTAAGGGGCTGAATATGCTTTCTACAAATCCGTAACTTAGTTTATTTAGCCATTTTCCCTATTATCATATGGCCGTATGAATGGAATCAGACTGAACTCAAATAAAAAAAAACATTAAAATGCTTTTAATTAGGATACAAGAATGAACCATTTACTGATTGCTTACTTACGCCTGTTACTCCTCGTGGAGGAGCATAGGCCGCTCACCAGGATTCTCCATTGAACTCTGTTCTGGACAATCCTTTTCAGTCGTTTCTAGTTGCTATCCATTCTTTTGATGTCTGCTTCCAATTTTCGACGCGGTGTGTTTCTTGGTATATATATATATCATGCAACTGCACCACCATGCAAGCGCTAACTTGGAATTCGGAAGGTAAAAGGAAAAAAAGGAGGATCAAAGAGATCATTGTAACAGGAAATCGAGGTAGAAATGAAAAAATTTACTAGCAATTGGAAAGAACTGGGAAGGAGAGGCCGAGACAAAGTTGGTTGGTGAATCGTGGTCATTGGTGCATGCGTCACTAGGTGTGACAGGCATAAGTCAGTAATTAAATAAGTAAGTAAGCAAGTAAATAGGTAAGTAAAATACAAATTAAACTTTTCATCATTTTAGCTTTTTATCATAATAAAGCTGAGTATTTCCATACATTCGACTGCTTTTATGTATAATTCTAAATCATCTGGCATGAATTATATTTCTCACAAATAGTACTGTACTTGCTTATGATTTATGTGATAATTAATGATATCATATCGATATGATGAACTGTATTTGTTGTGTTACCTTAATATTTGGCAGCTGTACATATTTACAATCTCTAAAATGCTTTATTTTGTATGAGAATCTTAGAATTCGACAGTACATCATCTGGAAACAATACATTTAAGGCATTTAATTAAATCATTATGATTTGACAATTAGATCTAATAGCATAGACTATACTAATAAACATAACAGTTTCACGACTCGTAATGAATGGCATTATTTGCTTGTATCTTCTCATTGTTATTTAGGACTGCAATTGATCAGTCTCTTGTTGGTATATGTGCATCCTGTGAGAACTGTCTCGATATTACCTCAAGTCACAAGCATTCAAAGCAAAAGTGGATAGTGGCTAGTAGTGGAATCCAGGGTACACGATTCTTCCTATTTGGAACTCGTCAGATGGATGTACCTGCAACCGAGTTGATGTTCACTCTGGGATTCGAACCCAATACCGTCCGCTCAAAACGCCATCTCGTTATCCGCTTAGCTACTGAGTCGTAACGCATGGTATTTAGTGAACTTTCAGTAAAATAAGATTGTGGAAATGATATAATTTTCCAACTCCGAATATTCAAGGTCAGTACTTCCAAATTTAGATGACAATAAACGAAGTCATTCTAATTATAATGTAAAAGTAATTATAAGTCATATTATTAAATTGTATTGATTTTCATACTACTGTCTTTATGAGCAAACTGGAAGCTGATCGGTTTCGACTCATTCTGTAAACTCAGGTTCTATATCACCATCAAAACTTTATTAGTTACATAAGATATAAAACAAAAATTTTGACATTCTCCTGTTCAACGTGGTGTGAACCTAGAATATAACAAGTTTTACAATGTCATCTTATATGATATAAAACATTCTATCAGCATTTTAATTTGTTTTAGAATCCATCATATTCTATGCACGATGAAATAAATGGCTTTTAGTGGCCCTTAATCTGACTCCATTTGGATGATATGGATGGTTGTTATTGAAATATATATATATATATATATATATATGTGTCACCTGCCCTCATATATTATCATCGACTTCGATCGTGTTAATGAATAACGGGATTAAATAAGTCAAACACAAGAATGAAGTTTTGAATACGTATATTTTACACAATCGTTGATCAAACTAGATAATGAAACAGCAAAGGAAGAGAAGAAGAGGGAGTGGAACGAGACGGATTAGAGAAGGCATGTTAGCCAACTCGATTTCATCAAGCATGAATAAATATTTATGGTTAGTCAAGAATAATTTACAGATACAATGAGTAAGATGGGTAATTAGCACATACACGATCATATAAAAACAGTCAGGATTAATAAACGAGTAATTGACAAGATCAAAATATGACTGGAGAAGAATGATTAAATATATCTGTCGAGAAACTGAAATAACCTATATGGGCTCGATATAGGGCCAATCCACTACAGGTTGAATGTACCAGTGAAATGACAGTATTTTTTAAGCTGGCATCTGCCTGTTATTGAAGAAAAAAATCTCATATTTATGTATATGAATACAATTCTCACAGTTAAGCTCATGAATTTGTTAGATTCTATGGTGTTTATCATTTCACACATCTCGATATTGATACATAAGGGGGAAAATATTAAAATGTACAATAGGTAGGAGAGAACGTGGCTCACAAACGACACTGATAAGCATAGTCAGTAGACGGCAATCATTTATCATAACTAAAAAAATATAATAGTTTATCATTCAATATCTGATCGTTTATCCTTTCGTTCTTTTCAGTCAATATGGTAATGTTTAAATGGATTTCAAAAAGGTGTTCTTCCTTTGACATCTATAGCCTACATTGATTTACACACTTATGCTTTATAAACAACTGTTATCCTTCTTCACATGAATCTTTTCCATTTTATTATTAAATCCCATGATGACGTGATGAGAGTAATAAAGATACTATGACGAACAGTGGAAAATAACTTTTTTAGATATTATTTGACTTAATGTCTATAAGATACTAACATATAGCTTCGAGATGGTGGAGAAGATTTGTAGCTCAGGTGGATGATTTTGATGGAGTTTTGTCCTTTGAGCTGGATGGTTTGGTCGTCGAGCTTTCATCGTTCTTCTGAACGACATCATCAGCACAGACTCCACCTCTACCTGAAGAACGGAAGAACGGAAGAACGATGAAAGCTCGACGACCAAACCATCCAGCTCAAAGGACAAAACTCCATCAAAACATATAGTTTCGTCCCTCTTTTAATGTATAAATCACCATCATGTTTTTTTCTGTTCCAAAATTACTGTAATTTAAACGTAATCTTTGTACTTCATTTTTCTATATTAATGCCCTGGTTTAGATGTAACTGTATCTTTTGTATTCTTTGTGCTCTGTGGTCTTGTTAGCCGTACACTTATTTATGCGACTTGTCGAGTTAATCTAAATCCAGAATAATTCGAGTAACGTTTCAGCTAATTCAACTTCTCTTTCTTCGTTTCCTAACGTGTCAGATCATAGATCAGTGATAGAATAGTTTTCTTCTCTCTTCCTTCTACACTGTTCAGTTACAAGCGGACTCAAGCACTTGATAGTCGCATGGTTAGTCTAAGTAGCCTATCGCCTCAAGGCCGTAAACTAGATAGAGACAATTCCCTTTCGTATATTATCAGGTAGACGAACTATAAAAGTAACATACGATAATGATAGCTATCGTTTCAGACTATGTTGATGAACCTTATTATTATTATTATTA